ACACACACACACACACACACATACCTAGACTTTTCTTATAGGCTCTAGTTACTTTATAATCTTTAGTTACTTTTCAGTTCTTCATTGTCTTTTAGTTACTTTTCATACTTTTACCTTCCTTGCTTACACATGGTAAAACTGTACTGATGATTGACCAGAACTACTGAGCCTTGGTTACTTTAATACATTTATTTTCCTTGCATGTATATTTTCCAATTGTACTGATGAGAGTCAAGTGATACTGAAGTAGAAACTGACTACTTTAACTTCTGTGTACACACAGTGTTTGTATTCATGAGGTCCTGCTTTGTCTTGTAATGGGATTACACAGATAGGGGGTCTGCAGCGCAGAGGACCCATTGTTCAGCTGCTGCCTGGAAAATCACAGTCGCCTGGAAAATCACATGACAACACACACACACCTGGTTTCGATCGCATTTCAGCACGAACTGTGGGACCTTTGTTTGGGGCGGACCTAGCCCAAGAGTATAAATGTAATGTAAAAACATGACTCGGGATTCAGAAGTTCCTGCTGGAGCTCTGGCTGTCTGAATCCAGCGCTGTGAGACTTTCTTGTAATCAGACTTTCAGTAAACTTTCTGTTGATTTTAAACAGTCCTCTCCTGTCGTCACTTCTCGTGCTTCCAACAAAAGAATTGGGTTAATTTCTAACAAAAAGGTTAGAATCTAACAAAAAGAAAAAAGTCTCACAACGGCGTAGGCCGCTTACACAGCCTACAGCATAGGCTCCACATTGATTAAACCCAGAACCATAAATCAAGCTTCTGTCTTTGGCGTAATACTATGTCTCTGTTGGCACACATAGGTTCTGCAAACAAAAAACCTGTGTTAAATGATTTTTTAAAAATAAAATGGTTCTGGTTTCAGTCTGTTTATATTTGACACCCAAAATTCTTTTTGGTTGCATACATTTTATTTCGATTGTAGTACCAATGTTTTGCTCAAATAAGTTTTCTTTGACTGCAGAGTATCATAAAAATACAACCTCCATATACTCAAAGTTACACCCAAGCAAAAGATCTCACAAAGAAATTCTTTCATGCTTTTTCATGGTCGATCCAGCAATGCCTTCCTGAACACACACATACACATTTCTATAAAATTAAACATCCTTTAAGTACAATATCATCTATTGATTATGTAAATGTAAACATACCATATTTCATTCATAACTGAAAAACAGAAATCATTAGTATCTCATCTTATCAACACCCTGATATATTCATTACACTGACATGTAAAAACTGTCTTCAGATTCACCTTCACAGCATTTCATCATTCTGAGGTGAACACGTCACTGATGCGTTATAGTGTGTGATACTGTTGACAGACTGCATGTAGCTGGTCTGAGTCTTGTTGATGTTTATGGCAATTTTAGGTGCAGTTTGTTGTCTTTTCTTTCCACTTTCCTGGCAGCCTCATTCAAAGGGGTAGTATGGATGAGACTTGAGTCTGAGAAACAACAAACACTGTGAACATACACTAGCTGCACCTCACAGAGGACCGTTGCTGCAGTGGCTTTGAGAGAGTATAACAGTTCCCCTTCTGTCAAACTGAGGTGTGAAGTCAAGATTTATGACTCTAAGCCCCACCCACATTTCACACTTAGTTTTCACCTTGATCAAAGGCTGTCAACTTTTATGGCCTGTAAATAAAGGATTGTTTCCCAACTTGGTTTCTACACTAATCAATATCTAGAGAGAAAACTCCAAACTAACCCATTAAGTGGGGGAGAAACACGCTTTTCCAAACATTAATTATTTAATTTAGAGGTAATACTTTGATTTTAAATCTATAAAATATTTAGAGAGCATGTTCCAATACTGGTGGTCAGTTCTAATGTAGTAAGGGGATGCTGGTTGGTACTATTCCTCCTGGGGAAAAAAATCATTTAATGTAGTTATAAAACCTGTAATAAATTGCTTTGAAGTGAAATTCTAACACCTATGTGCAAATTATTTGAAGTATGTAGTTTGGGGCCATAAAGGTTGACAGCCTTTGATCTAGGTGGAAATGAAGTGCGGAAGTGGGCGGGGCTTAGAGTAATAAATCATGTTAGAAATCTTGACATCACACTTGACAGAAAGGGAAGTGTTATACTCTCTGCTATATATTAACTTACTCGTCGAGCACACAGGCCCTCCACCCTCGGTCCAGTCCTCTCAGTGCGCTCATGTCTTCTTCAGGCAGACTGAAGTCAAATATCTGAACAAGCCCCCACCAACATTGAAACAGATTTTCACAAGATGCTCATAGTTAGAAAAAGTCATAGACAAATGTGTTTTGTTATTCCTGTGCAACCCTTCTAAATGGAAATACCAGTCCATGTTTGGACTAATTGCCAATTTTACAGATTTAGCCAAAAAGAAAGCAGACACCAAAAATTTCCATTTGTCTCCATTGGCATCCCTTGCTAACACTTTGTGATGAATGTTGACATAAGAACAGAATAACACAAGAATATCTCTTACTATATGCCAGGAGAAAATAGATATTTTAGTGTCAAAACATTTGTACTGGTTTTGGAAAGTATCCATATTTACATTTCAGCCAGTTAACTCATGGATTGGGTTATAATATGGGTGGAGAATGTGTTCAGTGTTGTGTTTAGGCTCTGACCTCATCACTCCCCATAAGCAAACACCAACCAGAGTATAGTGGTGCACCGGAATTTCCAGCCTGGACTAGCATGCAGGCTCCATTTCAATAGCTGAGAACAAACTGCCATTTGTGTTTTTGTGGGAGTTCTCAACTACTGAAAGGATTAACCATTAAAGTTGATACAGGCATTCGTGTTCACCAGAGGATGGACTGAAATCATTACAGGCATCAGTGCCATCATCAGGTTGAATTTATTTAATACTTTAGTTTGTGACCAAATACAAGCAAAACTAAGTGCTTTCCACCCTCAGCGTTTCTTAGTGTTTAGCTTTAAGTAGCAAAAATTACTATGGTAACATATTAAACTAAGATGGCGAATGGAGCATGTTAGCATCCTCGTGTTAGCATTTAGCTACGTACATGCACTTTCCTAATTAATAGTGCAAAGGGGCAGAGAGACCAAGAACATTTTTTTTTACCTTTGTGTTTTCAAGAATGTGATGAGGCTTGTCACTCTTAGGGATGACTGCAATACCCTGCTGCACATGGTACCTCAGCAATACCTGGGAGAATACCACTGTTACTGACCAGCAAATACACACAGCACTTTTGCAGTACAGACACACACTGACCTGTGCAGGGCTGCGTTTGTGCTTCTTGGCTAGATCTGCAACAACTTGGTCCTCCAGGAGCTTATGTGGATCTGTGTCTCCTCTAAACCTATAACAGGCAAGGTCAAAAAGACCAAAGCACATGATTCTTCACTCTTATACTCAACAGGCTGTGGATGTCTGGTCATTTGGTGAGCTGGAGCTCACACCTCCTTGCTGGAATGTGATCTGCACCGGGTGTCTGTGTGTGTGTGTGTGTGTGTGATGTTAAATTGTATGTTAAACTGGCCAGGTGGTCATCTCAGGATGTGAGCCCCGGTCTCTGCAGGACATCCCAAGATAAAGCAGAACTTGTAATATGTTAAATGGGTCTAGGTGTGAGTGCAAAACAAGCCAACTTGTCTTTGTTAAAATGTGAATTGGCTGTCTGGTCGCAGGGAGATGCAGACATCAAAGGCAGCCGGAGAAGGTATGCGAGTTGTTAGATGTGAGACAACGGTATGAGTTTTATAGATGTGTATTGTATCACTTTGGTATAAAGGGACTGCCCCTTTACCAGTCACTCAGAGAACTCTGCGCAATTGCAAAGCCGTGTACAACTTCTCTCCATGCTGCATGAAATAAAGAATTCTTCGAAGCTACTCTCCGGTCTCCAGACATCTTTGTTGGGTCCTGCCCCGTTCCCACTACCACAAGGCTCAGTGGGTAGAGTACATTTGGCTGACATGAGCTGATGGTAGCTAGGCAATAATTCTCATTTAAACAGTGGAGGGAATCTTGTTTTGACAGTACATTTAGTGATATTTGTGTTTGTCAGAATTATAACAGAGGGATTTTGCTGCACAAGCTTTTCAGTGTTAGCTGGAATGACAATGAGATAGTTGTTCAGTTACTGAAAACCCAAAGTGGAAAACGTTTCATTTAACATATATTTTTTATTTAATTGTATCACAGTAAAGACATAAATGAGTAGGAAATGCATAATTTCATTTTCTTTGTGTGATTTGTTTTATTTTGATTCTATTTATTAAAGCCTTTGAGCGTTTCCTCTCCACTGTTGACAAGTGCTTGCTTGGTTTTTCTCTGTAATACTTTCTATTGTTAGGTAATTTCATAGTCAGATAGATATTGATTAGATATTTGTTGTATTAGTTTAGTGGAGACAGGCTGTCTATGCTCAGGCTGTTAAATGCTTAGTTCACTGTCATGAGTTCTGCAGGCTGCATCTAGGCCAAGGTCAACTAGATTGAAGAGTCTGCAGGCAGGAGGTTATTGTTAGTAGCATGATATGTTCAGCCGTAATCTTAATCATAATATCTTCCGAGGCTTACTGTTCGGACATGTCCCTGAATGTCCTGTATGTTTTTAGATACACACCACGAAATCAACAGTCACACACATTGAGTTTCTTCATGTTTTGACTATTGTTATGGCCAGCTGTGAAGATGGATGGATGGATGGATGGTTATTTTTTATATATCCAAGTGGTCCGCTTTGTCTCTCTGAGTTCCTGGTTAAAAGAACTGGGTAATATCTTTCACTATAATACAAACACCATTTCCAGAAAAGTTTGGACATTTTCCAAAATGCAATAAAAGCTCATCTGTGATTTGCTGTGTTGTTCCGTACTGTAATAATATTACTTTCCCCAGTAACGAGTAGAATAAAAAGTTACAATTAAAATTTCAGTAATAATACTAAAGTTAATGTCTTTCCAAAAACAACTCGTTACAACATTACTTTTGTGATTACCATGGCAAGACTGATTTAAAATCCAACATTTAATATTTGGAGATGAAAGTGCCTACGTTCAGTGGCTGGAAATTAATTTTATTAGGACAAAGAGTGATAAGAACATTATTGTAAAACATAAATTATGTGCAGATAATGATAAAACTCCATCCATCCATCCATCCATCCGCCCATCCATTTTCCTCCGCTTATCTGGGACCGGGTTGCGGGGGCAGCAGTCTAAGCAAAGATGCCCAGACTTCCCCCTCTCCAGACACTTCCTCCAGCTCCTCCGGGGGAATGCTGAGGCGTTCCCAGGCCAGCCAAAAGACATAGTCCCTCCAGCGTGTCCTGGTCTTCCCCCGGGCCTCCTCCCGGTGGGACATGCCCGGAACACCTGTCTAGGAAGGTGCCCAGGAGGCATCTGAAACAGGAGGAGTTACATTGCATCACTTTTTACATAATGACTGCATGTTGTCTATGAAGAGTCTTAGTCTGAAAAATAACCAGTTATCAGCTTCACAAAATAACAGTGGAGCAAAAAGGAAGCACAAATGACCTTAAAGGGGAATAAATGGACATTTTTACTT